ATTTGAGTTTGATTTTGTAACATTAGTTTTGGTGAGTCAAGACCTACCTGTGGGGATCAGAAGTTAAAAAGACTAGATTCTAAGTCACTGGTCTACATTGTCAGAGAGAAGTCAAGTATTTTTACCTTTGTGTCTGTCATTTCCTTTTAGAGGAAAATTCATCTGATTCTTCCTATGTTAACTTCCTCACTTCTTAGGCTTTATTGAATTTAAGATACATAACTTGAGCACTTGTGGGGTAATTCATCTTCTGTCTTAAAGTCAAGGTAACCTATAACCTTTCTAGGATGTTATTCAAATTTCTAGAGGCAGCATCTTTGGTCCAGATATTGCCGGACATTTTGGTTAGGTAAATGAGAGGGTAATGTGACTTGACTTTTAGAGATGGGAAGAGCCCTGAAAAGCAAGAAAGTAGTGTCATTTCTTTCACACAGGGTTGTGGGTAGATTTTCCCAATAAAAAGTAGTATAGTAGCCAGGCAGCTCATGCCTGTAATCCTAGCTACTCAGGAGACAGAGATCAAGAGGATCATGGTTCAAAGCCATCCCAGGGAAATAGTTTGTGAGACCCTATCGCAAAAATACTCAACACAAAAAAGGGCTGATGGAGTGGCTCAAGTGGTAGAGTACCTGCCTAGCAACGGTGTGGCCCCAAGTTCTAACCCCAGTACCACAAAAAAAAGAAAGAAAAATAAAAATAGAATAGTAGCTGGTAATAAAAATCAGAACTTTTTCACTGTGAGATGTTTTCTTTACAAATCCTCGTCCTTTGTTTTTTCTTACACAGATAAACATGATGCTGGCAAATCTGTACAAGAAGGCTGGTCAGGAGCGCCCTTCTGTTACTAGCTATAAGGAAGTACTGAGGCAGTGCCCCTTAGCCCTGGATGCCATTTTAGGTAAGGATTGGTCCCTGGGGGAAGTGGGGGCACATGAGGGAGAATGATAGAGGAAGTGAATCTAATTAAGATGTATTATAAACACCTGTACAACTAATAGATGCCAGATTTAAAAAAAAAATAAATAATTTTCTCCCTGTTTTCCTGGAGTGTTTTCTGTTGAAGCTAGTACATCTCAATCATGAATTAGAATAGGTTTTTCTTTTCTTTTTTTTGTGGTATGAGGTTTGAATTCACTGCTTCATGCTTGCTAGGAAGGCACCCTACTATTTGAGCCACTCTGCCAGCAGAATAGGTTTTCTTTTAAAAGAAAGTTTCCTGCATATATCATATATTCAGTCAAGAGATAAGCCAGGCACCAGTAGGTTATGTCTGTAATCCTAGGTACTTGGGAGACTGAGATTGGGAGGTTTGTGGTTTGAGGCTAACTAGGACAAAAAAGTTCGCAAGACCCCATTTCCAAAATAAGGAGAACAAAAAATGGACTGGAGACGTGGCTCAAGCAGTAGAGTGCCTTCTTTGCAAGCACAAAGCCAAGCCCTGAGTTCAGACTCCAGTCCCACCAAAAAAGAATAAAAGAAAGATTATGGTCTTTCAGGGCTGGAGACATAGCTCATACAGCATGCTCAAGGCCCTAGATTCAGTTGCCAGGACCAAAAAAGAAAGAAATTATGGTCTTTGTATCCTGTGCTTCTTGTTTCTTGCACTGTGGAAGAGAGATGCTGTGCCTCACCTTCTTTCTCCTACTTTCTATTGGGTTAGGTTTGTTATCCCTTTCTGTAAAAGGTGCAGAGGTGGCATCGATGACAATGAATGTGATCCAGACTGTGCCTAACTTGGACTGGCTCTCTGTGTGGATCAAAGCATATGCTTTTGTGCACACTGGTGACAACTCAAGAGCAATCAATACCATCTGGTGAGAGTCACAGCATTAATTCAGTTATCTTAAGGCCCTTTACTTGTTGGGGGGGGGTCTTAGTGTTCTTAAATGGGCAAAACAGAAAAATGCAACACTTCTCTTTTAGCCAGTTGTCTTTGAGCTGTTTTAGCCTCCTAATGTACTGAATGATCACAAATGTAGTAGTCTTTTGGGAACTTGTAAAAATGTAAAGCTGGACTGAGTTCAGCTCTCCATGTGCAGGATGGGCACTCTTAAAGAGCTGGCTGCCATGATGTGTCATCTGCCACCTGGAAGAACAGCTTTTTGGTGTTCTCAGAAGCATTGTTTATTGTAGCACCTGACTTCAAGTCCAGGGTCAAGAGGATGTGGGTTATGTTGTGCAGTCATCCAATTGAATAATAAGTACCTGGGAATGGCATTGCATCCAATACCACGTTGTATATGTTGTCCTCTGAAAAACTGCAGCCAGAAAGTTCTTTCTAGCTAGTTAACAATGTCTGTTTTATTGTGTGTATTTACTGCCCTGTCCTATGTACCTCTTTTAAACTATAAGCTCAAAATAAGAATATTTAGTATATACAGTTCATGTTAAGGTTTTACTATGAAAACTTAAATTTCATATATACAGAAAATATCTATGTGCTTACCGCCTAAATTCAACAACTAAGGATTTATAATAGTTTTTAAAGTTTAACGTTAAAATCTTTTAAGTTCACTAGAGAAAAAGTCTTTATTGCGGGATAATGTGGACCTACTGGGAAGCTTAGCAGATCTGTACTTCAGAGCTGGAGACAATAAAAACTCTGTCCTGAAGTTCGAACAGGCACAGATGTTGGATCCTTATCTGATAAAAGGTGAGTAGTTCTTGGAGCAGGGCAAGAGTGGCTGTAGAGGGGCAGATCAAGGAAGATAGGCAGAAAATGTTGCATGAACTCCTGATACTGTTTTTCAAAAAAAGATTTTGTAAGATATATTGTAGTATCTTTTAAATTTTTTATTTTTTTAGGTTCTGACACATTGCTCTAACATTTTGGTAATTCCACTTTGGTAGTTTTTGCTTAAATTTAAGTGTCATCTCACAGACCGTTATTTAGCATCATAATCCCTGCTTATGAATTATAAATTTATGACATGCCTGATAAGGATTTGGATGGCATCCCCAGAACCACAATATCTTTTTTAGGGCATTTAGTTTTACTGTGTCCTTAATATAATAAAAAGAGAGGGCAAGGTGCATTGGCTCACATCTGTAATCCCAGTTACTCTAGAGGCCAAGATTGGGAGGATTGTGGCTTGAGGCCAGCCCAGGAAAAGCTAGTGAGACTCCCATCTCAGTTAATAAGCTGGGCATAGTGGTGTGCAACTGTGATTCCAACTACCCAGGAGGTCATAGGTATGAGGGTTGTGGTCTGAGGCCAGGCCCCAGGCAAAAATAGGAGACCGTACCTGAAAAATAACCAAAGCAAAAAGGGCTGGGGGTGTGATTCAAGTGCTAGAGTGCTGCCTAGCAAGCATGAGACCCTGAGTTCAAACTCCAATATCACCAAAAAAAAAAAAAAAAAAAAAAGTGTGTGTGTGGGGAGAGTAAGAGAACAGATATTAAAGGTGATTAGACGATTAGACACAGTAATTATGAGTGGACAACAGAAAACCCAGTGATTGAAGGAGAGGAGATTGCAGCTGCAGGGTAAGGCCAAGGACCGCTGAAGGCTGCCGTGGGGGGAAGTGAAGAGCAAGTGCTCAGGAACAGTGGGAAGTAAGACCCCGTGGCCCAGTAGACAGGCTGGAGTCCGTGGAGGCCCAAAAAAGGTCATCAAACAAATATGCCTTGGGACACTAAGCAGTCTTGCAGTCTCTGCAGAGAATGACTGAGCAGAGAGGCCGCCACAAGCATGCAGATTAGGGGACAGATCCAGAAAGATGAATTTGTATGCACATGGTTTCTCTCCTGCCCAAAGCTTCCTGCTCTTCTCTGAGTTGCCAGAAACCATGACAAAATGGTGGCTGATTTTCATTTTGTTTGGGTTTTTGGTGGTGGTTGGTGTTACTGGTGTTTGACCCAGTACTATCAAAAAAAAAAAAGAGAGAGAAAAAGTAGTGTGGTATCACTTGGCAGCTCGGAGTTAGCCTTCAAAAGTGTCTCTGTAATCTTGGCTTGAGAGGAATTTTCATGGGAATCTGAAGCGGGGATGGTAAGGAGTGGAGGACAGTAGTGCCAAGAGATGGGTGTCAGTGATCACGGGCTCTTTTTATGGACTGTGAGTGGCAATGAAGTGGGTCAGCCAGATGGGAGTGGGGAGAGGTGGTGGTCTCTAATGAACTGCATCCCACAGTGGAATTACAAGCTTTTTCTGGAGTAGGCCAACTTTTTCTGAGACTAAGTGGCTGTTTCAGCAGAGTGTTCCTGACTGCTGGGAGCTCTGGGAGACAGTGCTTACTTGATGCTTTTTTGGGGCCTAAAAGGTTAAGAATTAGAATAGGTGTATATCACACCACAGATAAAGGGACACACAGTTTCTGAAAATGACAGACTTTCATATTTTGAGGTGGGTCCTTCTGCTGTCTTTGCCTTTCTTTGTGGCAGGATCTTGCTATGTAGACCTGGCTGGCCTTGAACTCCAGTTACTCCTTCCTCCACCTCCTGAATGTTGAGATCGCAGGTGTGCATCACTACCCAAGCTGGTTTTGTAGGAAAATAGAAACAGTGGTGGGAGGAGCACATGATGGGGGAAAGGATAAAACCCTGCAGCAGCTGGAGCCTTAGCATGGGATTTGCTTGTTGTTTCCTGGCTTCACTAAGGACCTCTGCTGTTGGTTAAAGAGCCTCTTTTCATCATATCCTTTCAGGAATGGATGTGTATGGCTACCTACTGGCAAGGGAAGGGCGGCTAGAGGATGTGGAGAACCTAGGTTGTCGTCTTTTCAATATTTCTGATCAGCATGCAGAACCCTGGGTGGTCTCTGGGTATGTATGTATGTTATTCCTTTTTCTCCCCAGTTGTCAGTAGGTTCTATAAGAGATTGGGGCTTCTCCTATAGAGAATATAGGTTGAGGTTGAAAGCACAGGTTTAAGAGAAATCACACCTAGATTGTATCATGACCTGCCAGTGACATTGGACATAGTCATCTGAGTCTGTTTTCTCCTTTGGAGAAGGGGAGAATCCCACTCTCCAAATGAGAAAACAGATTCAGAGAGATGATAGTAAATGCACAGGGTGAGCTCTCAGTAATGGGGCCAGAGATGCTTCTTTGATGTTGACCTCAGGGCTGGGGGTGTACATTAGTGGTATAGCACTTGCCTAGCATACAGAAAGCCCTGGGTTCTAGCCCCAGCACTTATGTTATTATTGACCTGTCTTTGCAAGTAAATTCTCCAACTGTCTGCTAGCTTATAACTTATATCCCGATCAGAGGTTCTTTTCCATATTTTTCCATTCCATGTGAAGATTTCCCCCGTTTAAAATAAAATTTTTTGGTTTGCTTTATCAATAACAGATTATAAGGATCATGTGTAGTCTCCTTACGTAGCCCAGACAAGCCTTGAATTCACAGCGTCCAGCCTCCTAAGTGCTGGGATTCCAGGCTTGAGGCTTGTCATCTTCTCTCAGATAACTTCTAGTGTTTTTTCCCCCCCAGGTGCCATAGCTTCTATAGCAAACGCTACTCCCGGGCCCTCTACTTAGGAGCCAAGGCCATTCAGCTGAACAGCAATAGTGTTCAAGCTTTACTACTTAAAGGAGCAGCACTCAGGAACATGGGCAGAGTCCAAGAAGCAATAATCCACTTTCGGGAGGCTATCCGGCTCTCACCTTGTCGCTTAGACTGTTACGAAGGTAAGATAGCCAATGCAGATGACCAGTGTGAACCTGCAGGCATAGCAGTGCACTCACTTGGAAGGTTTCATTAGACCAGCACTTCCAAACTTTGTTGTTGGTAGCATGGAGGAGTAGGATCTGTGATCAGAGGATTTCCAAATTCCCACCAGGAAGACTCCATGGCAGGACATGTGGGTGTAAAGGGAGTTTACTAAGTTAGGGAAGGGAAATACAAAAGGGGGCATTGTGGGGCCCAGGTAGACTCTGGAGGCCAAGAGAGCATGTGTCTCTTCTCCAGGTGCTTTTAAAACCAACGCTAACCTACAGGAAAGGAAGAACCAGGTGATTTCCATTCAGTAATCAATGGGGGAATTGGGGAGTAGGTGGTTCCCAGACCAGGTGAGTGCGGTACTTGAGCCAGAGAGTGGTCAATCTGAATTGTAGTACTAAGTTTCTATGAGTCCTGAACTTTCCCTAATTTTAGCCTGCCTCAATCTGATGGGAACATACAGGGCTGGGAGACAGGCCTTGGAAATTTTTAATTTGTTTAATTTTCCCTTCCACCCATCCTTCCTTTCCTTCCTCCTTTCCTTCCTCCCTCCCTCCTTCCCTGGAACTTGCAACTTCCTGCCTCACTCAGCCTTTTGACTGCTGAGATTACACGTGTGGGCCACCACACTGGTGGTCATGATTTTTGTTTTTTGGCTTTCTATTTATGTATTTGTTTTCTTTGTTGTGGTCTTTGTTTTTTTGAAAATCCCAGGTAGTGCCAAAAGTAGGTTTGGAAATCACTGCATTCGGCATTTTATATTCATCTAGAGCTTTCACTGGATATTTTACCTCATATCTCTCAGAATCTATTTTCCTCATTCCTTTTTTTTCTGGTTTTTGGTTAGGGGGTAATTGGGGTTGGTTTCTTGGTCCCTTTACCTTCAAATGTAGCCCAGTCATTAATGAGAATCTTTGTATTAAGCCCTGAGCTGGATCACTTGGGTATGTCTTTATTCTCTTTCACAGATAGATGCTTTACCTCAGGCAGAGAAATTATTCATAGGGTAACTTCATATCCGTGTGACAGTGTTGGTGTGGGAACTGATCTGTCCATCGTGACCTCTAGAGTCAGCACACTTGGTCCAGCTTTGCTTTCTTATGTAATGTTTTAAGTTCATATGAACTGACCCTAAGAGTTCAAAGGAGCTGTGCCAGCACCACCAACATTTGGTGACTCAGTCACAGACACTAAAATAGATTGTACAAGATGTAGTTCCTCTAAAATGTATTTTTATAAAAATTTAAAAATAAACCTATGAGTCTTGGAGTATTTGCTCTTAACAGGAAGATGAGCTCAAGTTTGAGAAACAAAATTTGGTAGTTGGGAAGGACAAATCTGCTTATGTAGCCAGAGAGCGGCCCCTGTTATGGATTTATTGGGGGAAAGGAGGTTGTCTGTTCTTAAAGAAATTTTAATCTGGGTGTGGTGACACATGCCTGGAGTCTTAGCACTTGAGAGACTGAGGAAGGAAATTGTAGTGTGAGGCCAGTATGGGCTATGAAGTGAGACCCTGAATCCAAAAGGAAGTCCAGCAAACTCAGCCTCTGGTTTTTCATATTGAATTCTTGATCTCAAAACTAGCTTCTCTAGCACCCCCAGCGGTGTTGATCACTCTTAACGCCATTCTGCTGCCACATGCCTGTTTCACCAGCCTTGGGCTTGAAGGTGAGTAGCCCACCACTGAAGCTCATGCAGGAGCGTTGAGGCAGAGCATACCACACTTTCTAGGCTACCTTCTCTCCCATTGCCATTTGGAGATTAGGGGCTGAGCCTGCGCTTTTGCCCTCCCCCAATTTCCAGTGGAGATTCAGTCCTTTGCTGGTGGATACTTTTTTTTTTTTTTTGGTGGTAGGCATTGAACCCAGGACTTCATCCATCTAGGCAAGTGAGTGTCACTGAGCTGTACCGCCTCAGCCTGTGAAGTGATTTTTCGGTGGGGGGGGTAGGTTTGAACTCAGAGCTTCATACCCTATCACTTCAGCCATTCCACTAGCCCTGTTTGTGTTGGATATTTTCTTTTTTGGCGGCACTGGGGTTTGAACTTGGCCTCATGCTTGCTAGGTAGGTGTTCCTACTGCTTGAAACACTGTACCAGCCCTTTTTTGTGATAGGTTTTTTTCAAGATAGGGTCTCTTGAACTATTTGACAGGGGCTGGCTTCCAATTTCCATCATCCTGATCTCTGCTTCCTGAGTAGCTGGGATTATAGGAGTGAGCCACCAGCATCTGGTCTTCCAGTTGACTTCTTAAATTCTAGCAGGAATTTAGGAGGGAAGTAAAACTGCTCAGTATGTAGTTTCAAGTGGTACATACCTGTGATCCCAGTATTTGGGAGGATGAGGCAGGAGGATCTCAAGTTCAGACCCAGAACTATGAAGCAATATCCTGTCTCAAAAAAGAAAAAAAAATAGTTGCAAACAACTATATTTGAATTTGGATCTCACATGATGCCTTCAGAGTTAGGTAGTTTCTGGGTGAGTATCCACAGTGTGTGCAAGAGAGTGCTCGAATATTAGAAACACTGCTAGGGTGGCAGAGAATCTGCCAGAGATCATGTGGCTTTGGTGTTTAAGCTGCTGTTGTTTTTTGGTTTTTTGTCTTTTCTTTTTTGGTGCTGGGGTCAAACCCAGGGCCTCGAATAGGCTAGGCAAGCACTCTACTGCTGAGCTACATCCCAGTTTGCTGTTTTTGTTTTAATGAGTGCTTTATGCCAAAAAGTTCTTCGTCTTTTCTCTGCTCTTGGCATGAAGAGGTGAGTTTTCTTGAGGTGCCACATAGGACATCTCACTGTGGATGTGCAGAGGCAGATGTTGCTCTGTTGGGCGTGAGTGTTGTATTAGGTCCATGTGATCATGTGCTTCCAAGTAGGGTAGGAAAGCCCTCAGTGAGTGCCTTTTGAGTCAGCTGCTGCTTCACATCAGAGTATGCATTTCTCCTGTATGACTTGACAGTAGGTCCTTTAGTTTATAGAGCTGGACATTCACTTTTGGCCCTCCCTCTTAAAACCTAGGCTTAGAGTAGGTGACCAAACACAGCCAGTAGGTAGCTTAAGAGGCAGTGAGCCCTTGGGTTTTTTTTTTTTTAAGCCCTTGGGTTTTATTGGAAACATTCTCTCTTACTGCTTTGATCTTTGATCTTCTGGCCACGTGACAGAGTTAACGATTAGCATCACAGTTCTTCAGCACTCAGATGGACTGGACGTGTGCTGCATGTGCTTGTTTCCCTCACCAGCTGCAGGGCGGGCTCTCTCCATGTCCTCCAGTGCTCTGGAAAGACCACTTGTTAGCTACTCCATCAGCACATCCTTCAGTCCCATCTCACTGTCATGGTTCTCCCGTGGCTTGGCCTCTGAAAGTTTGAAGGTTTGCAGTTTGGAGCACTGTCAGGCTGCAGGTGTGGCTGGGAATGGTAATATGATTGAATTTCTCTGTGTTCTCTTTTTCAGGTCTCATCGAATGTTACTTAGCCTCTAACAGTATTCGAGAAGCAATGGTAATGGCTAACAACGTTTACAAAACACTAGGTGCAAACGCACAGACTCTTACCCTTTTAGCCACCGTTTGTCTGGAAGACCCAGTGACACAGGAGAAAGCCAAAACTTTGTTAGATAAAGCGCTGACCCAAAGACCGGATTACATTAAGGCTGTGGTTAAGAAAGCAGAACTTCTTAGTAAGTGTGTCTTACATTCTGCCCCATTTGTCATTTTTGTAAAGCCTAATTTCCTCAGGACTCCCCAGTTACTCCCCTGGTTATAGATGGCAGGCAGGTGTGTGCCTTTTGTAGCAGGTCTGAACCAGCTTGAATTGGTTGATACACAGCACAACCCAATGTAGCTGGCTTAGACCTGCTTAGATTTATTCAAACCAGCTAATGGCAGTTGGTACCCGTTCAGTTTACTTTTGTCTGGTTTTAGTTGCCCTGAACTAGTCCTAAATATAACCAACTGGTTTAGTTAGTTTGAACTGTTTTGAACTATCTGACTCCCCTTTTAACTAGTCTTGGGTTTTTAGTCCATATGTATGTATGTTTGAAGTTACACAGAAAAGAGGTTTATTGTGGTTCGTGGTTCTGGCCCAGGGTCAAGAGGCCACATCTGGTGATGGCCTTCCTGCAGAGTCTGAGGCAGCACAGAGCTTCATGTGGTAAGAGATGGGGATGAACCGTGTGTTCTGATTTATGACGAACTTTTGGATTTCAGCTAGTTTGGCAAATAAAATTAAATTTGCCTTTTTTTTTTTTTTTTGTGGTTATGGAGTTTGAACTCTAGGCCTCATACTAACTAGCTTGAGTCACCTCCACTAGCCTTGTATTGGGTGTTTTTGAGATAGGGTCTCTGCAACTGTTTTCCCAGGCTGCAGTTCTCCTGATCTTTGCCTCCTGAGTAGCTAGGATTACAGGCATGAGTCACCAGGCCCTGCTGTTTTGTTTTGTTTTTGTTTTTTTTTAAATGTTACATTTCAAAAATTAGAACTCAGGCTGCAGATTTCTTAATGAACTTGGAATCCAAATGCACTTGCTCTATTTTCTTGAGAATGTCTGCAAAGAAGTGAGATTGTTATAGTTGTTTTGTGTATATTAGTTGAACTAGAAATCTATTTTCAGGATGTGTCAAAGCAGGACAGTGAGGATTCTTTCTCTTTTCAGGCAGAGAGCAGAAATATGAAGATGGAATTGCTTTGCTGAGGAGCGCGCTGGCAAATCAGAGCGACTGTGTCCTGCATCGGATCCTGGGAGACTTCCTCGTAGCTGTCAATGAGTATCAGGAAGCAATGGACCAGTATAGTATAGCACTAAGGTAGGCACTTAGCCTCCCATTGGGAAGGTGATGAGGGGAGAGGAGTCAGGGAGCTGTGCAGCAAGGAAACAGACACACACACTCACACACTTTGTGCCCACAGGTGAAAGCAGAATAATAGTGATGGTAGAAGGTTATTTGTGAATTCATGACTTGTGAACATTCTTTCTCAAAGTATATTAACTTTAAAGAACTGTTTCACTCATAACCAGTACATACCACTGTGACGTGTTCAGGTGTATAGATCCTCCTGTCGTACACACACACACACACACACACACCACACACACACACATTTTTATAGTTTGTATTTTTACTCTGCTTTTTCCAATCAAAGTATTGTAAGTACTTCCCATGTTTCGATCTATTGTAGTAAAGAACTTGAATTCTGAAGTTTGATACTACCTTCCCTACTATATCTTGGGACAAGTTACTAACAGATTTCCTTGTCTATATTTACCATAATGGGTATTAAATGCCTGAATGAGGTTTAAATGAGTATTCCATGTAAAGCTCATAGCACTGTGCCTGATACGCAGTAAACACTAAATAAATAGTGGTTTTTATACTGCTTAATAAGAATTGATTTCTTTGAGGGTTGTCTGTGTGTCTGTGAGGTTATGGTGAGGGGCTGTCTTCATTCAAGTCTAGCCACCCATCTATTCACTTGTCCAGTAGATAGCTGAGTAGAACTTGTGTGCTTGACATCTCATGATCACTGGGGACACAGCTTTCAGTCTCAGGTGTTCACATTGACAACACCACATGCCGAGGGCTTTCTTAGCAGCCTGTAGAAGGCTGGGTGAGCTCCAGGGAAGAAGAAATGCTACAAATCAACCTACATTGTGGGAATAGGAACAGGATTCCAGCATGCCTTTTGGAAGCCCACAGGCAAGCAAGAAAATAACATACCACTTTCATTAAGGATGGGATGCCTGCTGGCTTGGGTAATGGTCACAAAGGCAAGAGCAAGATCGTTTAGGGCCAAATAAATAAATGTTCTGGAAGCTCTGAACTTTGGGGTGTAATGGTACATGTAATGACTCATGGCTGCTAAATGCAAATGCCTGGGTAGGGGTGGCCTTGGGTTCTGAGGTCTAACCTCGGAGCCTAAAATATCATGGTGTACAGCATGATGTTTTTAGTTGACAACTGAAATGCTGTTAATTGTATCATAAGAAATGAAACAGCCCCATATTTATACAAAAATTACATTCAGGGTTGGGCAACAGGGAGACTGAGATCAGGAAGATGATGATTTGAGGCCAGCAAAAGCAAATCGTTCATGAGATCCCATCTCCAAAATAACCACAGCAAAATGGACTGGAGGTGTAGATCAAGTGGTAGAATGCCTGCTTTGCAAGTGTGAAGCCGTACCTCAGTCCCACCAAAAAAAAAAAAAAAAAAAACAACAACTAAGTGTGAGGGCTGGAGGCATGGCTCAAGCGGTAGAGCACCTGCCTAGTAAGCACAAAGCCCCCGAGTCCAAACCCTATTACCACAAAAATTACATTTGAATTTTTCTGTGTGGGTTTTTTTTTTTTTTTTGGGTGATGGTGGTACTGGGGTTTGAACTCGGGGCCTCCTGCTTGCTTAGACAGGCACACTTAACCACTTGAGCTACTCCATCAGCCTGCTTGCCACTTTTTCATTTGTGTTATCTGGTAGCTAGGGGTAATAAATATGGTTTAAGAAATAGGTTTAAGAAATGTGTGGAGAAAAAAACCCAAACTGAGATGTCTTGAGCTGGGAATGGTGGTATATGCCTGTAATCCCAGCTGCTTGGGAGGCAGAGGGAGGAGGATCATGAGTTTGAGGTCAGCTTGGGCAAAGTGATGGAAACCCTGTCTCAAAAACAAAAGGACTTAGGGGTGTGGCACAAGTGGTAGAACTCTTGCCTGGCAAGCACTAGGTCCTGGATTACATCCCAGTATTGCAAAAAGAAAATCACAAATATTCAAAAAATTAGTAAATTAGTAAAAGACACCTTTTTCATCTCTGGGTCTAGCTTTGGAAGCCAAGGTTGTTTGGAGAGGCCAGTCATTATCGGTTTCTCTATGCAGTCTTACTGCTCCTCCAGCTAGGTGACAAAGCAGCCACCATCAAGCCTGGCAGAGATTCAGGCCTCTCCTTTGTTTTGTTGTCCCTTAGTTTGGACCCCAATGACCAGAAGTCTCTAGAGGGGATGCAGAAGATGGAGAAGGAGGAGAGTCCCACGGATGCCACTCAGGAGGAGGATGTGGACGACATGGAAGGGAGTGGGGAAGAAGGGGACCTGGAGGGCAGCGACAGTGAGGCAGCCCAGTGGGCTGACCAGGAGCAGTGGTTCGGCATGCAGTGAGGGCACCGGCCGCCTGCTCTGAGTGCTGCCCTGGACTGACTGCTGCTCGGGAGGACAGTGACTCCACATGTGTGCGTCAGGGCTCCCTTGCCCTCCCTCCCAAGCTCTAGCTGGACTTCACTGTAACCCTGAGCCTGTCCCACTGCCCCACCAGGGAGGACCGCAGACACTCCTAGCCACAGACAGTGGCTCCCGGGCAGAGTGTGTTTGATGTCACTAACTGCTAAATCTGAAAGCTGGAAGAGCAGTGTGCTCTGTGACGTGGGTGGGTGTGAAGGGGTGACTCCCCCCTTCCCAGAGTGAGAATGTCACCTCCCAAGGACGCGGCACAGTGTGGCTCTGTCAAGGGCGTCCTGTTCCCAGAAGCCATCACTGTGGGCCAGCCGCATTTCCTCTGCAGTGGCAGTGATGCCTTAACCCTATCACCGTGTTGCACTACTGTTTTCCTGTTGGCTGAGCTGGTGCCTGGCCTAACCTGGGCCAATCTGAGAAGCAGATGTGATGATCCCGGCTGAGGTGTACCGGGGCAGTTAACTAATAAACTTTGTTCAGCATGGATTTGGGTGGGCACAGTGAACCCTTTTATGGACTTACTTGTCTGGTGTCTTAATCAGAATGCGTCCATGCCGCCCTGGACTTGAGTTGCCATAAAAAGACCCCCTGGTATCTTCCCCTCATACTGGGAGCTGGGCGGGTGGGAGCCTCAGGTAGCCTTGAGCCAGCCACTTCATCTTCCCTTTTCAGTTTGCAAATGCTGATGGGACCCAAGAGACTTCACCCAGACTTTATGGGAGTCTAACTGGCTCCACTGAGGCCCTGAGGTCAGTCTGGTTTCAGCATCTGTGATGGGTACTGGAGTGTTGCACCCTGAGCTTGGGTGCTGGGAGACAAGGCGCCTAGCCTCTCTGTTTCTGCAGATAAAATGCCTTTTGATACACGATTGGAGGTGTAGGAGGCTGTGTCATAGCTGCCCCCAAGTTCTCATTAAAATTAAATGCTATAATCCCATCACACAGGAGGTTGAAATAGAAGGATCACGAGTTTGACCAAAAGAAAAAAAATTAGTCAATGATACTGTAAAATGTGAATTTGATGTAAATTGTAAGGCAGTGAAACTGTAAGAGTGCTAAGTGGACACTTGTCTTAGGTAGTACAAAATGGGCCGAGGTGCCTGGAAGGCATCTCAGTGTGAGGGTCAGAGCCCAAGTGGCACCGCTTGATCTGAGCCATTCTGAGGATCCCCCAGGGGCACATTTAGTGCTAAGGAGGTGACACTCTTCCAAGTTCCCCTCCTGGATAGGGCCCAACCTTTCTGCAGGTCAGGCAAGGTTCCCACAGATCGTGATGGGCCTGGCCTCCCCTGGCATCAGCACCCTTGCTTTCTGCTCTTCAGGCTGCTGGGAGCCACTGGGTTAGTGTTGCCTACCCACTCCCATCCTAGCACCACCAGTCTTTGCCCCTCAGGTCCTCCTGTGTAGTGGGCCTCAGGCTGAAGTGGGCAGGAAGGGCCACAGCCACATGGTGTAGGAAGAGCAGAGGGGCTTGGCTGTGCCACTGTCATTTTCACACCAAATGTCAGGGGAGGGCTGGGAGCCCAGCCCTGTGACTGTCCACCAGAGCTACTTGCTGGGACACCAAGCAACCTGAGTAAGGTTGGCCCACAGTCACCACAGGGACCTTGTGTCTGAGCTGAGTCCTGGTATCTCCCGCTGCACATCACTTGGCCTGAGCGGGTTCCAATCTGGTCCCCACTTAGCACTTGGACCAGCAGGCCGGGCTTAGTGCCGCAGACTTGCCCTCCTGCCTGCCTCCTGGGCCAAGGTGTGCCCAGCATGGCACCCCCAGAACACCATTCCAGAAATGAGTGCCAGCTCTTGGGCTTCTCTGGGTGATGGCTGGTGGTACCTGAAACCTGCCTGTCCCTTTCTTCCAGAGGGCTCAGCTGAGCAGGAAGGCAGGGCATAGAGGGTGCTCTTTATGTGGGCCTCCCATTTGCTTATGAGCCCCTCTGGGGTCCAGGGGTCTGGCAGGCGTGACTTCCTCATAAGGCAGATGGGACCACACTCTTGAACCCTCAGGTCAGCTGGCAGATCTGGAGCCCTCAGACTTGTGCCTGTTGCTCAGTACTACAGATTTCTTGGCCTGGGGTGACCCCTAATCTCAGCCTGCATCTTTGGTCACTTCCTACCCTAACCCTGACTTCCTGTGCTCCATAGATGGTCGGGGTACCAAATAGGGGGCTCCAGGGTCCCAGAAGCCGCAACCTGACCCTAGGGTTCCCAGGGGCTCCACTGTGCCACACCTATGGTGAAAGGGGAGGAGCTGGCCTCAACAGGGCCCACCTGTGGCTTCCTGGCTCCAGGCCTGCACTGGCTCAACTGGGCAGGCCTGGGTCAGGCCATGTGGAAACATGCCCCAAGCTCCATTTTGGCGTGACCAGCTCCCCTGCTGGGCAGGCCACGTCACCTGCTGAGGACCAGCAGTGAGGCCAGACTGGACATGCACCTCACCACAGCCTCTGGCGGAAGTGGCTGGCTAGGAATCCCTGGCACTGGGCAGGTTGAGGTAAGTGCCTTGCTCAAGTTTTCCACTTTCTGAAGGAGCTGCCCTGTCCCGGGGCAGAGGGTGAGACCTCAACTGCCACTTTTCTTGGGGCACAAAGGGCTAACTTTGTCACCTAGTCGCCTCCAGGCCTGGGTGAGCAGCAGACCAACCCTGGCCTCACCTGGGCCCTTACTGGCCAGGGCCTGTGGATTTCCTAGATTGTTAGGGGAGATGTCACTTGTTGGCAGAGCACAGCACTGTCACTTACTGTACAAACCACATGGCATGCCTGGAATAAGCCAGAACCCCGAGTTGGCTTTCTTAGCCATTAAAATGTTAATTTAAAAATAACAATACACAGGGTGCTCAGTCCTGTAACTCCTAGCTCCTCAGGAGGCAGAGATAGGAAGATCAGTTTGAAGCTAGCCAGGGCAAATAGTTTGCAAGGCCCTATTGTGAAAAAACCCATCACAAAAAAGTGCTGGTAGAGTGACTCAAGTAGTAAAGTGCCTGTCTAGCAAGCGTGAAGCTCTGAGTTCAAACCCCGTACCACCAAAAAGAAAAAAACAGTACCTGTGCGTGGCTGGTGGGCATGTAAAAGGGTGTGGCTCACAGAAAGTGGTCTGGAGGCTCAAAGTTTCATCGCCGTTGCTGTGTGACATGGCAGTCCCTCTCCCAGGAGGAGGAGGAACAAAAGCTTGGGATTCAGCGGGCTCGTCACCGTGTTCATTGCACTGCTCACAGTTGCCCCAAGTGTGCACTGATGAGTGATGGATGCACAGAAGGCGGTCTGTCCGTGGAGAATTACTCAGCCATAAAAGGGAAGGGAATTCTGATATAGGCTGTGACAGGAATGCACTTTGAACACAGATAAAGCCCGGTGCCGGTGGCTCACACCTGTAATCCTAGCTACACGGGAGGCTGAGGTTGAGAGGACTGAGGTTTTAAGGACCCTGAGGGCAGGCCTCCCCTGCAGCTTTCTCAGGCCTGTGGTGTGGGACCCTTTCCCTTGCCGGCTTGGGACTGGGGAGTCATTCCCTGGGCAGAGGTCAGATGTCCCCTGCTTGAAGGCCCAGGGCGACTGGGCTCGATGCAGTATGGTGTTTGTGGGATGCTGGCTGCTATTGGTGCCAAGTCCCCTCTTTCTCTCAGAGGCACCTCCTCCTCACTGGTTCTGGCTGTGGCTCTGGGCAACTCCCTGTGCCTCCATGTTCCGTGGTACAGGACCCAGAACTGGGTCTTCTCTGCCTGTCACTTGGGGCCCTGGGGTGGTGCATGTGACTGGTCCTCCTTGCATTCAGTGTCCCTGTGGACAGCAGCCTTGCTCTCCTCCACCCACTGGGCCAGCGGATCTGCCTGTGTCCTGCGTGCTGGCCGCCTCCTGCTGCCTGAGGTCTGGGGAGCTGGCTTTAAAGGCCTGTCTCCTCTGCCAGCCCTTTGTCACGGGCTATCTCCCCAGCCATAGTTACTAGTTTCTTTGTGTTTTTCCAGAAACAATCTGAAATCATATCACTTTATTTGTCTACCCCCTGCCCTTTTGTATCTGCATAGCTCACCAGTGAGTTTCTTTAAAAAGTAGTCTCCAGCTGAGATGCAGCTCAGTGGTAGAGTGAGGCCCTGGGTTCCACCCCCAAAAAAGAAAAAATAAACACACAAAAAAACCCTCCCTCCCCTCCCCCAAAACAACAAAAAAAATCACATATGATTCTTGGCAGCACTGGGGCATGAGGGCATGAACCTGGCCTCACACTTGCTAGGCAGTCGCTTTTACTGCTTGAGCCACTCCACCACCCTTTTTGTGATGGGTGTTTTTGAGATAGGGTCTCGAGAACTATTTGTCTAAGGCTGGCTTCGAACCGTGATCCTCCTGATCTCTGCCTCCTGACTAGCTAGGATTACAGGCGTGAGCCATTGGCACAGCCTTTGTTTTTGTTTTTGTTTTTTTGAGATACGGTACGACTGTAAAACCCAGGCTACCCTTGAACCCCTGACCGTCCTGCCTTATCTCTCACCCTGACTAGGCTGCTGCCCATTTCCCTCTGCCATGAGCTGTCACTGTCATGGCTTCCGGCATCAGCACTATGAAGCCTATGTCCCTCTGTCCCTCTTTGAAGGAAATATCATTTTCCCCTGCTACTTTTAAGATCTTCTTGTTTTCTGCAATTTACTATGTCTGGATTTCTTTTTATTTATTTTATTTTTTGGTACTGGGTTTGAACTCAGGACTTCATGCTTGCGAGGCAGGCATTCTACCATTTGAGTCACTGCACCAGTCCTGATTTCTTTTTAGTTATACTGTTTGAGATTTGTTAGGAGTTTTGCATTTGTGGTTTCATCAGTTCTAGAAAGTTTTCAGCCATTACATCTTCAAATAATGTCTCTGAGATTTTTCTGAAGTCCCAAGGAAATGTGACTTTGTCACCTCAGGTATCCTAACTTCTGTACTTTCCAGCTGCTCCCCTCCCCCCCACTGCATTCTGGGTAAGTCCCCATCCTCCACTGTTTGCTGGCTGGTGGCTCCTGATGCCCCCTCTGCCCAGCAGCTTGTGGTTGGGATGCTGATGCTTTTCCTGCTCTTCGGTCTGGAGGTCAGGACGTTTGCCTGATAACCACACTGAGGCCACGTGTCTGGGAGGAAACCAGAGCTGAGGTGCTGTTGTGAACCTTGATGGCCTGGCTGAGGCAGTGTCTGCCACGCCGCTCAGCCTCCTCTTGGAAGGAGGCCCTGGCCTCCAAGGGCTGAGGAGCTCTGTAGGGTGAGCACGCCTCCCTACTCACTTACTTGCCGTGTTTCTATGTATCGACCTCCACTCACGGATGCTAAGTTGTACCGCAACAGCACGTTGTTTCGTAACCGCCTCAGCGCTGGCTGTCAGCACCGGTGCCCATCTTCGATCGTTGTGTTGCCAATTTGAGCCGTTTCCTTAGGGCCTGTGCTGTGCCCTCTATGGAAGTTGCCATTTCTCCTGGGTGCTGTGTGCCTTTCCTGCCAGGGCGAACCTGCGGTCCCCTCTGCAGACAATGCAAGGAAACAAGACCGTGCTC